CATTTAAAAACCACGTACAGATAGATGTTGGCTTCGACATACACACACACACACACCCCGTGACCTCTCTAAGACAAGGCCCATTGGGGACATTTAAAAACCACGTACAGATAGATGTTGGCTTTCACATACACACACGAGTGTGTAACACGGTACATGGTATCCGCCTTATCACTACCTACTATGCCAAATCCCACAGTGTATGGGTTTAAAAATAAATATATCATTACATACCATTAAGACAGAAGGTCACCACGCTTTTCACCTCGAAAACAGTCGCCCCTTTCCCTATGCCAAGATCTCCGTGTCAATACAATACATAACCAAATCCCTTTACGAATCACAACAATGACACAAACACAAGCCTTGGGTGGGGGTGGGGGGGCAAACCGGCCCAGTCGTGGATTGACAAAGCGTTGTAAATCTACCGCACATGCCAAGCGACGTAGTTTAATAACCAAACCCGTGAGTAGTGTATACAACACACGAGTACAGTACATCTCACGCAGACAAAAGATCCCTCGTGTAGGCCCCCAGAGACTGTGTACGGGGCAAAGTGTGGTTAGCGAGCACCTATTAAGACGCCGTCTTTGTCTCTCCAGTGCCGAGTGGCTACGGCTGTGCACACAGGCACCAGGTTACTGTGCTCGGTTAAGGCCGAGTCGACCTAGAGGAAGCCCGGCACAAACAACGCTCCCTAAACGTACACATGCGACGAATTTACATTCGATACACACACACACAACACACCACACACACACACAAAGACAAAACACCACGGCGCTTAACAACAGCCCACGACGTCACCGCCGCCCAGTCGTGCCAGGCTAGGTGGACTTTTTTTAAAATATACACATTGCAAAATATACATTAAAAGTCGCGTTTCTTTACCTTACTGACGTGGACGACGTTGACTTCAGCAAGAGAGAGACCAAACGAAGCTAAATGAGCAAATCGACGCTATAAGCGGAGACACGAGAATGAGTTAGCACGCTGTGTGTGTCTGTGTCTATGTACGCTGCGAGAGTGTCCCAGGCCGCGCTCCGCTTGTGTCCACGTCTCGCCCTCGACTGACGACTTTTGTCTACCCACCCACCCACCACCACCACTACTAACACCTCCCCCACCACCCCCACACCCCCCCCAGCAACAGCTCTCGCGATCGCCTCGTCCACCCCAAACAGCTGACTCACGGCCCGAGCGGTGACGTCATCGGGCCAAGACGTTCGCGCTCTCCACATTGGTCGACGGAAAAAGCCGAAAAGGGGCCGCCTCGACCCCGCGTGACGTCACGGCCGTTCCGCGCACCCATTGGCAGGGAGCAGGGCCGAACCCTGTTAACCCCGCCCCTTAACGCCCCCCCCCCCCTCGAACATTCCCCCTCTTTCCCCCGCCCCTCCACCTTCATCCACCTCCGCTTCAGCAGCCCACGACACCCCCTTCTGTTTCCATTCCCACCCCCCCCGGTGACGTCATGTCACACGTTCGGCACGCCGGGGCCTTTTGCTGGTCATGTCCCGATGACGTCACGGAGCAGCGTGTGACGTCATGGTTTAAAGAGAAAAGCGGGGTGCGGCGGTCTGGCGGACGGGGGGGGCGGTCCTAAGTGTAAGTGTGTCTCCGTGATTGGTCGAACTCCCGCTCCCCCAGTGTGCAACGTCACGAGCGAGGCGGAGTGCTGCTATTGGTCGAAACAACCATCGATTGTTGACCAATCAGCGCGGCGCGAGGGCTATTTATAGTCAGGGGGGGGGGGGGGTTGACCCCGGTGACCCCTCCCCCACCCACCGTGTTGCGGTCGTTAAGGGTGACGGTGGCTACTCGTCGGCTGCTTTGTGTATCGTGCGTGTAAACTACATCGTATCATTATTTTTAGATCATTGCAAGCCTCCCTCCCGCCGCCACGGGACACTGGCGGTCCCTGGTGGCCTTTAGTGCGGCCTCCCCGACAATACACGAATGGTGAAAACACCCCATCATCATCGTCATCGTCGTCATGATCTTGCTGCCCCAATGGTTTCAGATGTGTCGCGGGCCAGCTCGCACACTCTGATGATGCCTCCTCATACCTGTGAACCCCCTGTGCCAGTGCCGACATGATTACAGACCAATTCAGATCTTAAATTTCGATGTAAAGCTTTCGTGACTGCAGGGATTCATCTTGGTTCTTTCGGTAAAGTCACGTAGAAGGGAAGTAATAAAATAATACAAATAATAAAATAATTCTCACGACGTTTCGGACCGACAGACCTGGTCTTCACCTGAGAACGGCTGCTTGCGTTGTGGCCGAAACGTCGTGAGAATTATGTTTTATTTTTACTATTTTATTACTTCCCTTCTACGTGACTTTACCGAAAGAACCAAGAAGATGAATTCAGACCTTATTGGTCACCCCGTGCCCTTACAAATCTCAACGTTCACACTACAAAGCCCCGTTACACAAACAACGTTGCCCGTATCGAAACGGCTGTACGCCGACTTGGACCCGAAATGCTCAATTTCCCTGTACAAGAATACGGGTTAAACCGTACGGGTTGACGAGTGTGATGTCTTATCGTGACTTTACCGAAAGAAACCAAGAATATGCATCCCTTGACTGTCTTGTCAAGGTGAGGTAATCAGTTCCTTTTGATGAAACAACGGGGATTAAAAAAAAATCACTACCAAAGTTAAAAAATATGGTTTATTACAATTACCGAATATTGTGCGAGAACAGGTTCTTAAAATGCTGATGCTAAAAATGCATTTCCTACGTAATGTATTGTTGGAATGCGTAATATGCGTTGAAAATGTGCATGAATAAAACGTGATTTAAAAAAACACACACTTAAGAATACGGCCTTGACATAGTTTTGTATGTTCCAATTGAGCAACGAAAGAATGACGCGACACGACCGGATACCATTCTCTGCGGAACCTGCAATGAATAAAGTCAGCATTGTCAGACTTGTAATCCCAACATTGTCCTAAACACACCATTTACTTGGGTCTACATTTCTCTCACGGCATTTGGAATTTTTTCACGGATTTTTTTTTCATTGGGGGGTGGTGGTGGTTGGTGGTGGTGTGGAGAAGGGGATTTAAAAAAAAGTTTAAACTGAAAGGTTATTTATAACCATAAACATGTGTTGTTCATGGCTTTTTTCTTGTCAAGATAATGAGATCGCCTGCTGTGAGCTCTGCCTGATAGGTGGGGGAGCTCCAACGGAGCCAGTTTTCTAGACATCTTCTCGTGAAGGGAATGGCTTAAATAAAATGTGCAAAACCCTGCTGGCAAATTCAGCTAATTATGACGACTTAATAATACTTTGCGCCAATTTTTCGGAACATCTTGAGGACATCTAAGAACAATTAGATCCTATCCCATCCGTGATTTGTAATCAAATTTATCTATTTGTGTAAAATTACAGTTGATAGGTTCCACATTTACAGCAGAAAAGCGAGGAGATGAGTATAGCGCATTCGTTCTTTCCATTCGATAATTTAAATCAATGAACAGAAGTAAATACATATTTAATTTGATAAAATACTCATATCTCGCGTGCAGTTTTGTTATTCCTCCATTGAAGGAGAGCAGACGACAGTGGTTCACTATGTGGTCCGTAGTTTGGGTTGCAAGGCCACAGTCACACTACTGTGGCTTGTCTTTAATATCCTTTTATGAAGGAGATGTGTGCATATTCTTAGGTTTTTTCGGTAAAGTCACGTAGGTAAAACATCAAAATTAATGAAAATAAAATAAAACAAAAATCACGATTGATTTTTGTTTTATAAAATAAAACAAAAAAAATAAATCAAATAAAACAAAAATCACGATTGATTTTTGTTTTATTTTATTTTCATTAATTTAGATGTTTTACCTACGTGACTTTACTGAAAAAACCTAAGAATATGAATCCTTGCAGTCACGAAAGCTTCAAATCTAGAGATGTGTGCATTGGCCTGTTGATTAGATGTTGACTACCTCGCCTGGTATGCAAGAGGTCATGGGTTCGATTCCGACTTATCATTTGTGGCCAGGTCGCTTCTGAAAAAGAGCTATTAAGTTGAGTGGGCCTTACCTGGTGAAATAAAAAAAAGAATTTTGTTTAAAATTTTGATTTAAAGCTTTCGTGACTGCAGGGATTCATATTCTTGGTTCTTTCGGTAAAGTCACGTAGAAGGGAATTTTTTATTTACTAATTATTTTATTGTTTCCCTTCTACACGACTTTACCGAAAGAACCAAGAATATAATTTTGTTTTAGTTTAGTTCATGGGCACACCAGTGTCTCCAATGAATATCAAAGCCAGGGAGATGTTAACTACCTTGCATGGTATGCAGGAGGTCGTGGGTTCGATCCCGACCCCGACGCCTGTATATTTGGAGTTTGCATGTCTCTCTCACTGTAGTCGCGTGGATTTTTCCCCAGGTCCTCTGGGTTTTCTCACCAAATGTATAAACATGCGTTTAGAGTATTTGGCTGCTATAAATGTCCACATGATAATCCACTTCGTTGAGCTATCACATGTGGCCAGGTCGCTTCTTTAGTGGGCCTTACCTGGTGAAATAAAAAATAATACTTTAGTTAATAGGTACACCAGTGTCGCTTATATGGTGCACATATAAGCGGGTGATAGAGTGCTCTAAAAAAATAGTGTCAACCAAAAAGTTATGTTTCACTTGAAATGTTTGCCTTTTTGTCCCCAGATGTGACTCAACCCAAAGCTGGTCGGCAACGTCGCCTTGGGGCAATGCCCAGGCTTTGTGGCCAGAATGCTTTGAGAACCAAGACAGAGGCTTTACGCACAAATTACCGCTTTTGTTTTGAAGAACCCATTATCATGTAGCACTTACTAATGGTTTAACTGTTTTATAAACTTTTTTTTGTTTCATTCTCTCTCAAATGACCGAGGGGGCAATTACATTACCTTAATAATACGTTCTTAAATCGCCAGAACGCTGACAACTCGAGGAAACTTTGCACACGCCATGACAGAACGCACACGGGGAGCAAACGATCGGTTTTCTGTTTCGTTTTAATTGAGAAATATTTGTGTCGCAATGCTCAAAGCACATTTTCTGCAAGCACAGCGCACATTGCAGACACACGCGCATCCAACACACCCACACGCCAACCAAAAAGAATGGGGTGCCCTAATTTTTGTAATGGAGAAATTCAAAAACCAAACGACATAATCTTTAGTGGGTCGTTCAAGCCTCGTAAGGGTAATTGCTCATTAAAATTTGCACGGTATAATTACAGGTTACTGTATAGTTTCTTCTCCACTTTTTGAAAAAAAAAATGGACACAATGACTCAGAGCCTGTGCCAAAGGCCAATTTAAGTGCTACAGTAGTCGTAATAACGTACAATGCAATTGCTAAACGGAATGATTTCAGAAAGCTATATATTGTTTAAGTTACAAAAGTTATTAATTCTCGGGAGAATTATATGCATTTCAATAAATTACATTGTCCACATCATGCACCGCACACACACACACACACAATGCAAATGATTTACTTTCCTCTAATCTATGCCTTAAATTGTGCTAAGAGTCAAGTAGACAGATTAAAGTGTCCCATTGCAGTCGCTTAATCTTACTTAGCTGTCAAGCTATATATTTGGCGTAAGCAGCGTTACCAACCAAAGCATCATCTTGAACTACAGTTAATGTATAGTGTTAGTGTACAAATTACAGCACTGTCTTGGTTAGGAGTGAAACAATCCACCAATCCTTCCGGCAATTTACGCGAATTGTCATCATGATCCGCGAATCAAGTTTCCATTTTTTTGTTTTCATATGAAGGTGAATGGTATAGCACCGCTAGTGGCTGCAGGGGGAAATGTGAATTGGCCACAGGACAGTCGAATTTTGTCTATGGCAATATCTTCAGGAGATAAATGCCAATGTCGAGGTCAGACAGCCACGAGAGGGTTTCATGAGAGAGTTCGTGTCGTTATTCACCCGTTTAAGGAGCGCAGACTACAATTGTTTTAGCTTCTGTTAATGCCTTGACTTCAGCGAAAAAAAGTGAATTGTCAAGATTTTTGATTTAAAGCTTTCGTGACTGCAGGGATTCAATAAAGTAATAACCTTTCAGTTTATTAATTTATTATTTCCCTTCTACGTGACTTTACCGAAAGAACCAAGAATATGTCACTATTTTGCTTGCTTTCCAACATTCTTTTGGTTTGTTTAACACGTAGGCTTTCGCGACCAATGTTATTCATAATCAACGTTTTTGGGTTTAGATCGCGTTATTTATAAATGTGTCGTAACCCTCCACCACCCGACACGGCCAATCAGTAAAAAAGTGTCACGTTGACAAAAGACAAATAGTTCACTGCTTTAGCTCACCGGTGTGTTGACAAAAAACAGCCCCCAAATCAATTGGCATGTTTACCAACGTGCCAACGTGATGTGGATGGCTCTGTTTGGTGATGGAGGGTTATATTTATCAGTTTGACATTATACCTACATGATCTAGCCCACAATAAACTAATAACGGATCTCAAAACATCTCCAATTCTTACGCACGCGATTCGACGCGTGGCAACTAAGTGCTAAATAATTGAAATTGGCCGACATCAAAAAGGTGCATTGTTCCACTCCTAGCAGTTATCAATAACAGCGACAATGACAACATTAAAAAAACAACGATGGTAATGAAATCCTCATACAGAAGCAGTCCAGTCGATGGAAGCATCTCGTTAGGGTTGAACCGAGTACACACGCGTGGAGTAACACCATGCCAGGCACATTCACGCTTCGTGTCGTATCTCTTTCGAGATGGCGTTTTAGAAACTGCGAGGCTTGAGGGGTGCTGGTGGTGGTGGAATCTTCCTCCTGTCAAAGGGCTCCTCCTGAATGTCTCCACCACTACCCCCCCCCCAACCCAAAATTGGAGATTTCAAGTGCAGAATTTACAATTAGAAAGAACTCGCGTCCCCCATACTGTAACATCACCTCCACCCCGCCAACCCCCCCCCCCCTCCAAAAAAAACTATATACAACGTGACAGTTTTGGTAACGAGATATATCTATGCTAACCCACACTTGCAGCAGTTAAATATGTTGGCGCGTGCCTTCCCCCATATCAGCGTTGCAAGAGTTATATTACAAAATAATTAATACAGTCGGTCAGTGGAGAAGCAGGATTTGCATGGGCCCTGGTGCAAGGAATTAAATGTGTGGGGCCCTACACCCAATCACCCCCCCCCTCCCCTCCGTCATAGACTGGCCCCTGGTGCCCTGGTGCAGTTGCACCACCTGCACGTTCGATGGCCACTTCCACTAAGATGTACGGCAACAGAAGCTGCAGTATAAATAATAATGCACGATGGCGACACCGCCGCCGCCACACAAAGACTCGACTTGAAAACGGGGTGAGCTCGACAATTTTAACATCTCGTTCCCGCCCCACCACCTCTTAGAAGCACGCATTCACAAAATGTGATCAAGCAAAGCACGCAAAGGAAGAATCCGAGTGGTGAATTCGACGGTCACGAGTGAAAGCAAGAGAGCGCTAGCACCACGGTCAGGCTGTCCCCAACAAGCCGGGGACACTTGAGTTGGCTCCCTTCTCTCGTGAACCGGCCACCGACCGGACGCAGTCGCCTGGACAACAGGCTCAATCCGGCCGCAATCTTGAGCTCCGATCGCTAAACCCCAGCGGTTCCTTTCGGGACGAAGAGCCCGCGCTCGGCTGTCAATCCGGCGTAATCCGCGGTCTCTCTCGTGGTCTCGGTTGTGCTGTCGTCGTGCGGGTGCCACGGCGACAAGATGTTAGCCACCTCACCTGGTATACAGGAGATCGTGGGTTCGATCCCGACCCTGATGCCTGTATATTTGGAGTTTGCGTGTCTCTCTCTTCGTGGTCGCGTGGATTTTTCTCCTGGTCCTCTGGTTTAACCTTCCACATTTAGAATCAACATGTGCTTAGAGATAATTCACATGATGAGCCACTTTGTTATCATTTGTGGCCATGTCGCTTCTGAAAAAGAGCTATACAGCTCAGTGGGCCTTGCCCGGTAAAAGAAGTTTAGTTTTAGGGTGCGTGTCCAGTTCGTTTTGTCGAATCCACCGCTGGACGAGAGGATTATCCGCATGCCATGGCTGGCTTATATGGGTTGTTTGAGCATACTTTACCACGCCCATCAGTGCGGGATAGTGAAGGTGGGGGAACAGGGCTTAATTTTTTTTCATGCAATATTTACTGTCCCCCCACCGCTGCCCCCCCCAAACCTAGCCCCCTATGAGAGTGGAGAAAAGGGCTGGGGGGGGGGGAATTATTTTCTGGAGCTCAGCCACCAGACAGGTCCGGCTGACATTAAGCCCTGGGAAGAACCATAGACGTGGGAGAATAGTACAGTACAACAATGTACTTTCCGGAACTGACATCTTTTGAACTCTTCTTAGTTCCGAGATGTGATGAGATCGGGCGGTCATTCTGGGTAATTTTTTTCAGAGACTCAATAAGCTATCACCTGGCTAATGTGAAGGTTTTGACCGACCGAGTGATGTTTAAATATCATTATCCCGACGTCGCAAAAGATGACCGATAGTTAAATATTGCGTTCAACTTTTCTGAATCGAATATGAACAATGAAACCGAAGTTTAACACAATGCTGCAGGTTTTTTCCGTCGTTGTTGTAACAGTAGGTTCTGTGCATCAGTGTCGTGTTAGCTCTACGCGTTAGCTCAACAGCTCTCTGCAGCGAAACACCGTATATGTACACTGTTCAGAATTCACTTCAACGCACCACATTCCCTTTTATCAGGGCTAAAATATCTCACTCGACACTATCTGGGTCGCTGGTAGACTGGAGTTCTTTGGCACGTGACTAAGTCGCCACAAGCGCTGACCCAGAAGGCCCAGACAAAATGAAGCCCTGGCTCTTGTTTGGAAAACAACTCGCTTACCTTCTAGATACAATGCCAACATGCCCGGTCCTTGTTCTCACAACAACAAATCCCAACCTTACCCGAGGGTTTCGTGAATTCTACTCCTCGCGACCAACCGCACGCAGTCTGTCCGCATTCCCAGATTTAGCGATCTTCTCCATTCACTGTCAATTGAACTCGTTACGCATCGCACGTGTCCGATGATTAGTAGACACGGTTCCGTGTTGCCGTCGAGAGTGCCGCTTCAATCTCGGATGACGTGAATCAGAACCGGCGCTCCGCACATCAAGCCCGACACATCTACATGCGCATTTACCAATCATCGGGCGTGTGCAGTACGTAGCCACGTTTGTATCTGAATGACTGAACATCGGTAAAACGTGGACAGCAATACTGCGGTGGCTCGCGAGCACCAGCATCTGGGAAATCCCGCCCTTCGTTAATCCTAACTGCGCCGCTTTGTCCGCGTCCCAATTACGATCGCGATTCCACGGATCACAACTCCTCGCAGGGAACACCTCGTCGTCGCAAGTGCACGTAAAAACCCCCCGCCCGCGTGGGTTGCACGTTTGTCGCCGCTCTCCGTCCGCGCGCAGCAACAACAAAAAAAATCATCCGCGAAACGACGACGCCCTCAGCACTTCCACGAAATCGTACATTCACTCAGCCATCAGTGGACTTTTGCCTTGAAGCTGGTAGTTGGGGACTGGGGGGGAGGGTGTGGGAGGGGTCAGAGTTCAACTCGACGATGGCGTCCTTCACAGCGGCTCGGCGACGCTGTACGCCGTGGAAAACTTCCGAAGCACGGGCACGGACACGAGCTGGTGGATCTTGGCGTGGTGCTTGCTGCTCGCGAACTTCACCCAGTCCGGCCGGAAGCCGCCCTTGAAACCCACGAGCACCATTTTGTCTGCGCGCAAAGGCAACGGGACGACGGACAGCGTTGGGTGTGTGAGGCTCGAACGACGATGCCCGTAATGCGAGCCACCCATTGACTGTGGGTGGTTATCGGTGGTTGGTTTGTACTCGAGTGACTTTTTGTTTCTCTCAGCTCTACATTTATAGTCGCTGACAACCCCTCATCATTTGGGGACCCAGTAACTCGCCTCCTGCGAAGCGTGACCCTGAAGCCGACCGAAAGACGGCGAGGCCGTCGGTTACTGGCGGTGTTCGTGCATACACGTACAACGCGAACCGGCAACAGCCTACAATTGTTATCGGCATCGTCAAGCATGATCAATCCACTGCTGGCACATGCAATAATTTTATTGCTCCATCTCCGCGCTTGACGTATTCTGTAAATCTATGTTTGAAGTAAAATAAAAAATAAATGGTGGTGGCTGGGGACAAGTCTTTCCTGATGACTTGCCCCACGAAAAGTGGTACTCGCTGTTTTACAGAGCCTGGAGGGATGATGGGCCGAGTCAATTATCTGACTGGGACGATGAAGATGATGATTTTACAATGCAGAAAATTAAACATTACACCAGGAGGGGAAGCCTGTGGCCTGCAAACGGTGCTTGTGTTGGGATGTTCGCCACGTGGCTGCACGTACCCAGGTATTTGGCTCCGGCTTCCACTCCGATGGTTGCGAGAGCCTTCTTCCACTTGCCGTCCTCCGTGACGAACTTCCCTTTGGAGGTCACCAGCACAACGGAGCTGCGGAGGAGAGCGAGAGGGAATGGGCGCCACGGTGGAGAGATGTTAACTACCTCGCCAGGTACACAGTAGGTCGTGTGTTCGATTCCGACCATGATGCCCGTATATATTTTGAGTTTGTACGTTCTCCCCGTGGTCGCGTGGATTTTGGTCCGGGTCCTCCAGTTTTTCCCTCCACATTTAGAATCAACATCATGCGTTTAGAGCATTTGGCTGCTATACATTTCCGCATGATAAGCCACTTCGTTGAGCTATCGTTTGTGGTCAGGTTGCCTCTGAAAAAGCTATATAGCTCAATGAGCCTTACCTGGTAAAATAAAAAATAGATTAGTTTTAGTTTGAATTTTCACACGGTGCACTGCGCGCGCTGAGGATCTGCTCCCGACATTCGGATTCTTTCGAATCAATCCGAAAATCGGGCCTAGTTATGACATTTCGTACAATCCGAAATATTTCTACATCAGTGGTCCGTTATCTGAACCGACCATGGGACCTTTCCCGAGGTCGACTCAGCCTCAGATGGGAATCTGATGCGGTGCGAAAACGTCAGCAATGGGTAAGCAAAGGCTGCATGAGGCAGGCCACGCCACACCTATCGTTGCGTCACGCCAGCCTTGATGGCCGCTCGCTAACGACACTTTTCCCCGGCGGTCTACGTAAGCTACACGGTGGATCTTTGTGTTTGCGTGTGAGTGCGCGTCACCAACGTACCCGTCCGGCACGTTGTGAGTGAGGTGGTACAGCAGGAAGGTTGGGATGGAGCGGAGCTGGGAGGCCTTGAAGACGCGTCGAGAGACGAGGGTGCCGGTTGAGCCGTTGAGAGAGATCACCTGCAGACCATCCTCCAGCTGGTAGTATGCCTGGCCGTTTACCTGCACAGGGGACAACGTATGGACCTGAAAACTCTAATTCCCTGTACAAGAATACGGGATAAACCGTATGCCTCGACACGGTATGCGCTCAGCGGGAAATTTAATTTGTTCCAATCGGTGAAAATTATTATGTCCAGCGCGGGTTTATATTAAGTGAAGGATGAACAAAATTAGAACTCACAGTGGTGGTGGCATAGTTGTGCTTTGGGCTGGGGTGCCACGAATTTGCAGACTCCACCTGGACCTCCACAAAGTTGCCCGGCCAGCTCTGCACGATGAACAATCAAGGAAACAAATAAATGTAAATGAAACGAAAATATTTTAGTATTTTACCAGGTAAGGCCCATTTTAAATACACAAAACGCATGAAGTTGATTCTAAATGTGGAGGGAAAAACCGGAGGACCTGGAGAAAAATTCACGTGACCACGGGGAAAGAGACATACAAACTTCAAATGTACAGGCGTCAGAGTTGAGATCGAACACATAACCACCTGCATACCAGGCGAGGGAGTTAACATCTCGCTAACGTGGCGCTCACTCATATCATCATGAATGATCACAATCACAAATCATCCTCCTTAGGGATGTGACGACATCTCGGTGTCATTACACCCCTAAGGACAATTAATTGAGATTCTTAATCTCATGTTACAATCATCAAATCGTGTTTTCATGATCGCAGGTTGTCACGTGAATCCATTACAAACACCGATGAAATAAAACATCGACTCTTACATGTGTTATTCGAATATGATTGAGATTACTGATTTAAATGATTAATCGTGAAAAAATATTGTTCCGCTCCTACCTCCCCAAACGTGAAGGGTGCTCGTTTCATTTGCTCGTGCATCCATCGAGTTACAATAAATCCACAAACGCCTGGGTGACACTCCGCATTCGCTCGCGGCCCCATCAAATTTACTACGCTGACTTCACGTGAATCCGCGAGTCCAACAAGGCTACAAACCGGTGTTCTATTAACCGAGCCTCCTCGAAGGAGGCGAATGAACGAACGACCGAACGGACGAGCGTTTGTGCACGCACTGGCTGAGTCCACCTAGGGGAGGCCCAGGACCGGTTCAGATAATCGTCACCGGTGTTAGCCGTGAGCAGGAATCGAACTCGGGTTGCCGGGATCGTAGCGCAGCGTGCTAACCGCCACACTGCCTGGCACATGCACGCACACACGCGCACACACGCACAATGCACGCGCGCGGACTCACATCGGCGTAGATGCTGGGCCGCCGCTTGGGCATGGGGACGTCTACCGTGGGGGGCTCGGCGTACTTGGGGTAGGCCCTGGCGCGACAGTCCGCCGCCACGGTGCTGGCGCCGGTGGGAAGGCTCGCCTTCACCTTGACGCGCTCGCAGCCGCGGGTCGAGCAGAACGCGTCGCCCTCCCGCGGGGCCTGTGCCTGCAGCCGCAGGAACAGCAGCCTGCGGGAGCGAGCGCAAGCGATAATTGGCGCTTTCATTCCCACTCGGGTTTTTAATCTGTCAGAAGCCGAATCCGGCCTGCGGCTGCTACGTTCACCGCAAAAGGGATTCGTCGAAAGGGGACACTGGATGAGCCTGATGAAATCTCCATCCATGCACCCGTTGTCCGTACATCCATCAGTACGTCCGTACATCTGTTCGTCTGTCTGTCTGCCCATCAATCCATGCCCCCACCTGTCTGAGGTGAGCTCACACAGTGTCGCTGTCGACAAAGTAAAAGACTGCTTGTCCGTGCGTGCGTGCGTGCGTGCGTCCGTCCTGCACTCACCCAGTGTCCTCGTCGAAGAAGTAGAATCCGGTGGAGGAGGGTGAGGCGTGCGCGCCGCGGGGCGGGTGCTCGAGCCGCTGCAGCGAGGCGACGCGCGCCAGCGTGCCCGTGCGCTGCGTGGTGCGGCGCAGGCGGTCGTGCACGTCCGTCAGGACGCTGAACGTCGTGCCGCGTGGGTAGCAGAAGCCGATGCGCACCCAGTCGTTGCTGCGGGCGCGCGCGTGGAGGCACGGAAAGCACGGAAAGTCAGCGACGCACGCGCGACGTCACACGCGAGATTCTGTCAGTCAAGGTGAAGGTCGAGAGGTCATCGTGGACAACGCCGTTGATGTCGCCGCACCTCGCCCATCACTTCCTTCCGTAAGATTCTGTAGTTGTTATAAGTCTCACGGTCTCATCATCATCATCATCGATCAAGGCGAAGGCTAAGGGTTTTGTTAAGACTCATAACGTGTCGTCAGAGTAAACTTCCTGCACCAGCGCTGATGATTACACACCACTACAGGTAGGCATTTCATGCTGGGTCAATCTAGAGGAGGTTCAAGACCACACAAATGATGCTAGCAATGGCGGGCAATTGATATAAGGCCACCGGGTTAATAGCCCTAACCGCTGCGCCACCGCTCCACACTTTTATCAACACACGGACAAAGACGAAGATCCCCCATATAGCCTTCTCAGACTATTGGGGCAAGTGCTGTTAACGAGCACGTATGGCCGCCTTTGTCTCTCTCGTGGCGATGTTTGCACACTGCACCAGGTGCTCAAATGAGGCGATCTAGGGGAGGACCAGGATCGGTTCAAATAATCGTCCCCGGTATTGACAGTAAGCGGGAATCGAATCCGGGTTACCGGGTTTGACTACCGGGTATGTTTGCCGTACATGCCGTAGTGGCCCACTAACTGACCCCAAGTGCCCCCCCCCTCCTCCAACTCACAGGTTGAAGTTGATGAGCCAGACGGTGAGCTCGTGGGGGGCGCGCGTGTCCCAGTGCGCCGTGTACCCCTTGGACAGCATGAGCACCGGCTGGTACTGCTGGTAGTGCAGCCCACGGGCGAGTGCGCCCTCCAGCGTGAGCGCCTGCCCGGGGAACTCGTCCCGTACCAGCGACAGCCGCCCGTCCGACGGGCTCCTCGCCTGGATGTAGACCTGCACCCGCGACGACGCGAAGGCAGCGGCAGCAATTGAGCATCACGGCGAGAATGACAGTGAGCAGCACGCACGTCCTTGTCCGTCCGTCCGTCCGTTCGATTCCCGCTCACGAACAACATCAGCGGCAGCAGGCACAACGACGAGGAGAAAACTTCCTCGTGTGGATCAACGAGGAGGACCGAACGCGGCTCGATGGAGAAGGGAGGCAACGTGAAGCGAGTGTTCACACGCGCGCGCGTGCACGCGTCTGCGTGTGTTTGTGTGTGCGCGTGGATTTGTGTATACTTGGGAGCCTGTACATGGGCGCTAGGTCGACTCAGCCTCAAATGAGTACCTGGTGCGGTGTGTAAACATCATCGTGAATGCGGGGAGAGGGCGGGCGGGCGGGCGCGAGCGCGATCACCTGTGCGTATCTGGCGCTGCACACGGCCGCGCGCCACTCGGGCACGTCGACGCAGTCCGGGTGGCGCAGCAGCGCGTCGTCGTGCTTCACGAGGAAGGCGCCGGGGAAACCCGACACGGATCCGTCGCCGTCCCGGAACACGGTCGTCTTGTCACCGTCCATGGACATGTCCCGGAACCAGGGCCCCGGCTCGCCAAAGAAGACGCGCGAATCCGCCTGGGCACGATGCAAGGTGGGGGGGGAGGGAAGCGGAGGAGGGATCGTGAGATGTGGCGATCGTTACGGTGGAATAATAATCATGGTTTATTTTTTGCTGTAACACAATGCGAGCCCCGGTACAGCGAGCCCGTAAACCGGGTGTCACAATTTCACGGAGGACGATCCCTATGCAACGGAAGCATGGAAAGGAGGGGGGAGGTGAAAGATGGGGAAAGGAGGTCCACGCTGCCCTAACAAAGTATGGGACACCACGTCGGGCGAGAAGATGAAACAAATAATAATAATACAAAAATAATTTTAGCTTGTAACGCCGGTGCCGCCGCCACCCGCACAGGACTGAGAGGAAGACTCAGGGGCGCGAGGAGGAACCGCAGACGAGCGGGAAGGCAGCAGCCACGCAGTGAGCTGGCGCTACCAACAATTGTCCAAGGTCTGCGGTCCTCTATCTATTAAGATGTTATCGCCTCGGTCGGCTACGTACGGTGCGTAAGAAGTTCAACATATATCCATAACGTCCTCATCATGTCCATCTTCATCACCATTATCGTAACTAGACATCATCATAATCATGACGATGACCCCCCCCCCAACCACCCCCTTCCCGCGTCGCGTCGTCGCGTCTCTGCTCACGGGCACGTCCTCGAAGACGATGCCGGAGAGGTTGTTGTTGGGGCAGCTCTGCCACGCGTTGTTCAGCCGGAAGCCGATGGCGCTCGCGTGCCGGTCGGCCAGCGCCGCGAACCGGCGGAAGGTCACGCGCTCCACCCGCAGCGGCCCGTCGTACACCTGCAGCCCGCGCACGGGGAACGTGCTGCCCACGCACGGCGGGGGGGCGGGGGACAACGAGGAACAACGTTTGACAACGGGGAACAATGGGGAACAACGGGGAACAATGGGGAACAACGGGGAACAATGGGGAACAACGGGGAACAATGGGGAACAACGGGGAATGAGGAACAATAGGGAACAACGGTGAACAATGGGGAACAATGGGGAACAACGGAGAATGGGGAACAATGGGGAACAATGGGGAACAATGGGGAACAATGGGGAACAACGGGGAAGGGGTGCGAGAGACATCTCCGATGAGCACGGTTGGCTCCATCACGGTGCGAAATAAGTTCAACATACGCACATATATTACAAGACAGTTCACGATTGGATGGCGCCGTGGAGCAATGGAGAGCGAATAGCTCAACAAATGTGGCTTGTGATGTGGAAATTCACAGCGGGAAAATATTCGAAAATAATCGAGACGCAGCGACGACGAGATCCTCTCTGGCTGTGCAACTCCTACGACGATGAAGATTGTGGCGATGACGGACGGGCACCACGGCGGTCACGGGGAAGTCACTCACATGCCGCGGGGCAGCGTGCGCCCCCGGTGGTCCAGACTCCCCGGGCCCCAGAACTCGTCTCCTCCGCCGCCGCGTGATCCCCGGTTGTGGCTCTCGCCCACGAACAACGAGTCCACCACCTCCTGCCTCGAGCCGTCGTCATCCGGGAACGTTCCCCCGCTGTGGGGGCACGCGGCAAACGCGAGCGGAACTTACACGTCGATGGACAGACGGGCGGGTAGGTGAGCTGGCAAGGCAGGCAGGTAAAGGCACACCTGTCATGCTCTTTGTTTTAATATTGTGTGAGAATTCAGTGCGAGCAGAAGTGTATTTTTCCTTTCAAGGGAGATCTATGTGATGATATTACATCCAACGAAATATTTGATTGCATTCATCAAACGCGAGTGAAACTTGTACATAGATGGACAGACGGACGGGTCGGCGAGCAGGCAGGCAGGTATGTAAGGTACACCCGCCATGCTCTTATTTCAACACTGGGTGAGAATCCAGTGAGACCAGAAGTCTCTATTTTTCAAGGGAGATCTGGGTTATGATATTACATCCATCAAATTAGCAAATATGTCCCTGAGTCCGTGGCATAGCCGTGGTTGGCATGGGCTCTGTGTGAGGAATTAAATGAGCTCCCCCCTGCCCCCCGTTCAATTTTTCCCTCCCCTCTTTGTAGCCCGGCACCTGCCGCTAACAATCGCAAAATGTCAACGTTCCTAAATAACTCCGTGGCCTTAAAAAAGACATTATTTTTTATCATAGGCGTCGTTCCGGGCACTGACCCTTCTTCATGGTGCGCAGATGTAATGCCCGGCACCCGTGCACAAACGAAGCAACGCACAGAGTTAAAGCGAAAACAAAGCGGATACGCTAATGAGATAACGCGATACGATTTGCGTGAACATCGCATGTACGTGCGACCACATATCGACGCAAAATAATACGAGCCGGTGAACTTAAAGAAATGCAAATATGTGAATGAATTTGGAATTTAAATAATAATCGCACGCAACACGTTTAAAATGAAAAAAAAACCTATGCCAACATTTCCAATACGAATGAAACATTCAAATGTGCTGGCATTTGTCTACCTGGCAAGAGTGAGTCCGATGCCATTGTCTGCAAATCTGCAACGATATAACACGGGGGGGGGGGGGTGAAAAGTTTCAAAGGGGGGAGGAGTTTCAACATGGGGGGAGTCTCAAGTGGGGGGGGGGGGGAGTTTCATGGGTGGGGGGGAGAGTCTCAAGGGGGGGAGGGATAGTCTCAACACGCTCCACCTGAACGAACTGAAAGCCCTGCACTAAACCGGCTGCCCGGCAAGATAACATCATCAGCAGCAGCAGCTGCTCGACGTCGAAAACAAAATCATCGCAACAATAACACCGGCCCCCTTTGTTCGGCGCGTCTGGGTTTTTTTGCACGAGGTTTCTTTCCTGGTGACGCGATCGGGAGTGAGCGAGGGTGGCGGATCTACGAGCGCGTAGTTTCAACGTGGGAGGAAACTGGGAGGGCGTTTGGATGAAAAGAGCCAACGGCGCGCGACGATGTTTACACGGCGAGCTCTGCCCAAACGGATGGATTTGGCGATCACAACAATTATCTATATTAATGCATTAATTACATGGACACCAGTTATGTGGATTTCAGTTAGCCAGGTTTCATACGTACAGGTCCCATTGACGAGTCTACATCACCCAGGTCTCAGTTAACAACGTTTCACCCGTCCAGATCTCATTCATTCAGGTCTCAGTTATGCAGCCGTCTGGTGACCAGGTCTCAGTAACACAGGTTCCAGCCACCAGGTCTCCATCAGCCAGGTCTCATTCGTCCCGCTCTTTGTTTCCAAGGTTTTATTCACCCAGCTTTCAGTTACCCAGCTCTGAGCGACCAGACACCAGTTATGGAGATACCAGTCTCCAAGGTCTCCTAGACTCAAGTGTCTTCTCTTATCCTAGGTCTCAACTCCTCCGGTTTCATTTGTGCAGGTGTCAGCTAACCCGGCTCTCGTTATACTAAAAACTCATTGGCCCACGGGCCTCTGTGTACGTGCGCATGCACGTTGAAGTCCTTTCGCACCATACATAACCAACCGTGCTAATCGGAGGTGCGGATTAGCACCTCCGCCGTCGCGTGCGAGTTTGTCTCACTCACTGGCAGTGGCGGAGCCACACGTCCCCGCCACGGAGCCAGGCCCCGTGCTCCTGGTTGCGGAAGGCCACGAAGCCCGTGATGAGGGCCGGCACCCGCGGCTTGAACGGATCGGCGTCCACGTGGGGGCCATAGCTGCGTCCGTCGCCAGAGACGGCAAAAAAAACAACAAACAAATGAAGGTTTTTGACGAACGCAAAAAAAACTGCCGTCGTGAAAACCTTCGACCCGAAGGTCTCCTCCACTCCTCGGCTGCGGTCGATGATCAAAAAACGCTGAACGCGATAATGACCTCCGACGAACGTAAGCGACCTGACAGCGCGCTAATGACGCGGCGACGTTACGTTTGGCCCAATGGGTGTGGGAACGGAAGCAGACGAGACGAAAATAATGCAATAAAAAAAATCGCGAAAACAATTGCAACGAGAGGGTTAAACAAAAAAAACCGAGACAAATAGATTAGATCCTTAATCGAGTCGCAAATCAGGATCATCGACTCACTGTGCATAAGGGGGGGGGAGGGGGAGCGGGGGTTGGGGGCGAACCAGAGTCGATATAAACACAAACGCTGGCTTTAGTTTTGAGTTAGTTTATTTTTCAGCTGGATTGATTGGGCAATAGATTTTTCAGTCTTTTTATTAATTGTATAGTACCCCTGGGGGAAACTTGCAAGTTGTATCGTATTGCAGCCATTAATCATGCCCCGCGTCCATTGGTTTGGCATTATTCATTTATATATAAAAAATATATAATTTTATGGATATACATGATAATTCTTACCACGTTCTGAATGATTTTATCTGTACGCAATCGGTGTGCCCTTTTTATGAGATAACATTTCCCCTTCGCAAAAGAGATCTTTGTTTTCTTTCCAAGGGCTGCTACTCACTTGTCGAATATGACTTGTGCCGGAAATGAGATGCATCGGGAGGGATTTAAATGAGAACGTTCTGCGGGAACGCGATTCGACATTGACAAAAAAATCAGGCAAACGGCCACGCGCTTAATTGGCGCGCCTAATGCTTCGGTCACGAATCGTCGCAAGTTGCGTCCTGCGCTCTCCATCGCGCGTGCCGCGCAACGGGGTGATTTTTTTTTCCCGCTTCAGAATGAGCCGAACGTGAGGGCAGAGTGACCTCTTTTTTTTAACGTCTCGCCTCAGGCAATTTGCACTCATGCGTATCATTAATACGTTCAAGAGAGGGCCTTCTGGTGAAAATGATCAGGTTTATTCTTATTTAACAGGGTGAGGACTCCCAGGCTAATCCTCATTTGCATCAGTGCCCTGGGGGCATTAGTCTGCCAGTAAGGGGCGATGATCGCTATGTGAGTCATTTGTGGGTACATTTATTTTGTTGTTGTTGTTGCAAATTCGAACCGATATTCACATTGTCTGCTTTTTATTTTAATTTCGGAGCAACAGATGGAAGATTGCCAGAGGGAAACCATCCAGCACAGGAGTATAATATACAAATTCCAGACAGAAAAGTTCCAGGATCAGGAATCGAACTCGGACGGTTCTTGCCTCGAGGCGTCCCGCGTTGACGCTTACCGTGCAGCTCACGAGAGACAGGTACGGCCGCTTGTCCCTCTCGCTGGCGTTCGTCGTCTTCACTCCGTGGTCCAGCATCATCCCGGCCTGCAGCACGCACGCAGGAACACAACGCACGCACGCACGGTGCTGTCATATTGACATGCAAAGCATGCTGGGGCGGCGAAAGCGCAAAACAGGAAGGGACCGTCGTCCGTTGTGCGTTTCGAGATGACGGCACCGCTCCTTTGTATTCATGCGCTCTGAGGAGGGGCCGTTGCCCGAAACGTCTGGGAAGGGGGTGAATAATTGCGTCCTCTAATCATTCCACAATTGAACCGACAGAACGGCCAGCGCTGGCTCGATAGAATCAAGCTGCAACATGTGAACGGCGCGGAGAGGGACGAGTACTTGGGTGTGCGTGTGTGTGCGTGCGTGCGCGTGTGTGAGCGCGCGTGTCGGCCGAGCCCGTGGGATCGGTGCGACACGGCGGGCTGGAGCGAGAGGTTTTGACCCAGAGGGAGGGGGAGAAGGAGAGAGAGAGAGAGGAGGCAGATTGCATTTTAATTTTCTGAACGTTTCTCGCCGTCAGTCGCTGATTGCCAATTCATTTCGTTTCCTGCTGGAAACATCGAGGAGCGAGACGATGCCGCCCGTTGTACGCGATGTCCGATGTTTGTTTGCCTGCTAATTATTATTCATCGCGGTCAGTTGACATTGGCAACGTGATCGCCGGCTCGAGGCAGAAATGCCATCGTGTTTTTAGCAGGTCGGCAATCATTCATAGATTGAAATTACTTCGGGTGTTTACGATACGGACGCTGAATTGTGCTGATAAGAATCGATTGTCCGCTTCAAAATCCGTATTTATTTCAAATTACACGCTAGGCCACACACTTTCCCACAAGCCCATCAGCAGACAAATGTCCGTCGCATTGCTCGCAAAACTCATACGTGCACGTATTAATTAATGAAAGTTCTCAGAGATGGAATGCAGTGAATTTATTTGAAGACCCAAGATTCATTTGTGTTTTTTGTATTTTAGTTCAGTCAATCGTGGCCATTATATGAGAACCAAGTTGGATCATGGCCAGATCTACGTGAGTCTGTGGATTTTTATGGGCCTCTGTGTGAGTGTAATGATCCATTGGTCTCTACGCGAGTGTCACGGTTCTCTGTTCAAGTCCTTGGGCCTCTGCGCCTGCCATTGGCAACCCGGCTCAGCCCGTCGACCCGCTCCACTCGAAAACCATGGCTTCATCGCGGCTGGGCCCTGGTCGGACACGAAAAGATCTGCACCCAGCAATCGGCAGCGGTGCCGGCTCAGCCTCTCGGCACTTTCAGCCACACCGGCCGCGTACGTTTGTTGAATTGTGGCGTAAGCCCGGGGGAGGGTGTTTCCCCGCGGCTTCTCCTTACCCTGTAGTTTGAGTGCGCCCGGTTGTCGGCAAAGATGCCGAAGGGTTTGTGTTCGGTGTAGCCCGGAGCGTACTTCCCCTCCGAGGGCCCCGTGGGCACGTGGTGGAACACGAACCAGAAACCTCCTTCCTGTGCAAAGACAAAGGTCCCCCCCCACATATAGCCTTAATAGACTGTTGGGGCAAGTGCTGTTCGCGCGCACCTATGAAGGCCGACACGGCACACGAGGGGGTGGGTGGCCGCCACCACGCCCGGCCGCCGCTGGTCTCCCGAGCGGCGATGTTTACACACCGCACCAGGTACTAATTTGAGGCCGAGTCGACCTAGGGGAGGTCCGAGACCAGTTCAGATCATCGTAACTGGTGTTGACCGCAGCGCGCTAACCGCTACTTCCTGTACACGTACACCCGCACGCCGTCATCATCGCCATAATCATCAGCCATGATCTATCTACTGCTGGATGAATGTCTCCCCCACGCCGTCCACATCTCTCACGGTTTTTTTTTTCGTTTGTGTTTGTGCACCAATGGCAATGCAGCAGCAACATCACCAGATAACTCGTTAACTTTTCTTCACGGACAATTTGACGTCTCTAGCTCACGCACGTTCCCCTAACACGCACGCCACCGCGCGCGTTCCACACGTGAACGCGCTGAGCGACATGCTTTGACGAGCCGTAGACTGCTCTACGAACCGTTTAACGCCTGCATAATTCGTTTCACGGAGAGCAGGCGTTTTTCGCTTGTGAAATTTTTGACCGCGGATGTTTAAAGTCTCACCTCCGAGCCGGCAGCGGAGCAGTTGATGATGTTGTTGTTGGGATTTGCCAGCCAGAAGGTTGATACGGCGCTGCGAGCAGAAACCACACAAGCGCAACGCAAACGATAATTTTATTTACTTCGCGAATGATCCTCGTCACTGTGAACAAAAATATTTTACTGAAGTCGCACATGAGTCTTGATCATCATCATCATCACAATCATCATCCATTGCCCATTGGTTCATGATCATGATCGTCATCCATTGACCACTGGCAAAACATCATCATCATCGTCATCAAATGACCACTGTTAAATGAAAATGCTGTCGATAAATCATTATCAACATCACTATCATGACCACAATCCCCATCCACCTCCCAATCCAAACAAGTCTTGGCGTGACATCCCAGCAACATCATCATCACCATCATCGTCATCATCACCATCGCAAACTGATCAACCGCGCAACGCTCACGTGCAGTCGTGGCGCGGGCGCGGCACGTATCCGGGGTACGCGTCCTGGCGGATGGTGCGGCACATCCGCACGTCGCGGTCGGAGGGCAGCAGCGAGCTGGCGCGCACCACGAGGCCCAGGCAGTGGTCGAACGTGTTGCGCTCCTCGGGGCCGTCCTCCGTGAAGAAGCAGTGGCCCAGCACGTCGTAGCCAACCACGTCCTTCACCTGACGCGCGTAATCGTCCCGAGTCATCGTCGTCTCATCGATCGATCGACCCTCGTCCGACCGATCATGGCGGTGACGTGCGTCATACGCGCGTCACACGCGCGAAGGCTCCCATCATTATCGTCGCCGTCATCGTCTTGATCGTTGTCGTTGTACGATTTTCAAAATTATCATGAAATATTTGTTATCATATAAGTAAAACCTTGGATTGCGAGTAACTTGGTCTGCGAGTGTTTTGCAAGACGAGCAATTTTTTAAAGTAAATATTAATTTGATAAACGAGCGAGGTCTTGCAATACGAGTAGTACGTGTATACGCTTTGTCTGCCGAGTGTCACGTGATCACAACTCATATACGAGTGCTTTGATATACGAGTGCTTTGGATTACAAACACGTTTCCGGAACGAATTATGCTCGCAATCCAAGGTTTTACTGTATATATATATATGTATCTTTCTCATTCTCACGGTCGCAACGCGAGGGTTAAAGGCGCAGCCTTGCAATTTCCCAATCACACCAACGGCTTGCAGCGGGAGCAAGTGGGTGCGCGCGTGAGCGCAACAACGACGGCGGCGGCGGCGGTCCACCCACCAGGAGTCCGCTGGAGCCGTGGATGGTGAGGCAGCGGGAGAAGGAGTGGTGGATGGAGAGGCCCCGCACGTACGTGGGGGGGTCGTAGCCCCCCAGCTGGTCCAGGTCCCCCGCGACGTGGAAGTGCACGGGGTAGTGCCCCATGGTCTGCTGGCCCATGTGGCGCAGCTCAGCTCCCTCCAGGTGGCACGCCTTGAAGCCCGCGGCCATCTGCACCAAGGCGGTGGGGGGGGGGGCGGTGACAGGGGTCGGGAGGTCACGGGGTGCAATTTTCCAAGTCTGGGCCAAAGTTGTATGTCGCGCGGCAGGTGAGGCTGTCTGGTACGCAGCTGATGGGAAATTGAGAGCGGCCTCGCGGTGTGAATGAATGAGTTTGTTAAACGAATTTCTTTAATGAAAACTCAAATTTCAGAGGCGTTTTTGCGGCCGTCGGGAACGCTCTCTCTTCTGAAGCCGCTGGAGCAATGCACTTTTAAATAATCTAGATTGAGAACTATTTTTCTTTAGAACAGTTTTTTTTTTTAGTTTAGCTTGTTGCCCTTCCCCCCGCACCTCCGATTAGCACGGTCGGCTACGTGCTGTGCGAAAGAAGTTCAACGTATGTGCATAAACTCAAAGCTGTCCCCGATCTCAAACCGTACAACCAGACAGCAACCGCCGCTGCGTTTATGAGACCGCGCACCGGCTCGCTCACCAGCCCCTTCTTCGTCTTCCGTACGGTTGCTGATGTCAATGGTAGAGCAACGGCTACAATCTCACATGCAGGTGGGCCAAGCCAGACAACCGCGTGCGGAGTAGCGGAGTGGTATCGTCATCGCTACGATGTCTCCTGAGTATTTGTGGATCGGGGCAGTTTCGTCGTTATACGTTGTACGGTCCGTTTCTGCCCCGCCACGAACAAATAAACGTTGCTCATCAACTCACGACGGCGCAGAACAAGTCTCAACAGCACTTGTTGGAGTCGAGGCTGTGAATATGCGTGCCCCCCACAAAACTAAAACTTTTTTTTTCCTGATGACGACCGCTTGTGTTGCGATCGAAACGTCGTGATTTGTTTTATTTTTATTTTATTGCTAACTACGTGACTTTACCGAACCAAAGAGTATGGATTCCTGCAGTCATGAAAGCTTAAAATCAAGACTAAAACTGTACTTATTTTTTTGTTTACCAGGCAAGGCCCACTGAGCTATGTAGCTCTTTTCTCAAGAGCGAGGTAATTGACATTATAACATCTCGCCACCGTGGTTTTCAGCTTGTCCACCGTCATCTGTACCCCCTCCTTGCCCCCCCCCCCTTCCTTGCCCTCAACCCCCCCCCCGCACCTTGATGTGACCGCCGAACGTGTCGAAGGAGAAGAAGCGGCAGGCGTTGTCCCCGTAGCAGCTGGGCTCCATCTCCCCCTGCACGACGATGTTCCGCGTCAGGAGCCCCACCTCGGCCCTCATGTCCACGCCGTCCACCACCTCGCCCACGTGCGTGAACCGCGGCTTGCCTGCACGCGCGCACAGGCAAAGGCCCCCCCACCCCCGAGATAGGCTTAGCAGACCGAAGGGGCAAGGGCTGTTTGCGAGCACATTTGAACGCGGGAACAACGCGCGAGGGGGCGGGTGGGCAGCACCGTACCCGGCTGCGTTTGTCTCCCCAGTGCTAATATTTATACACCCACACTAGGTACTCACTTAAGGCCCAGTTGACCTAGGGGAGGTCCAAGACCGGTTCAGTCAGTCGTGTCACATTTCTGGAAATGGCCGGGGTCGGGAATCGAACTCGGGCCGGCGGGTTTGTCGCATGCACTAACCACTACACTACCCCGATCCCCATACAGACACACGGACACACGAATACATGGACATGCGGACACACAGACACTCAGACACACTGACAGACGGACACACGAACCGACACACGCAGAGACACACGGACACACTTATCCACGGAGACATGGACAGACACACGGACACACTGACCCACGGACACACAGGCACACACACAGACACACGTAGACAGAAGACACACTGACACACGAACACACAAACACACGGACATGCGGACACGCGGACAGGCACATGGACAGACCCACGGACACGCAGACACACAGACACGCGCACAGACACATGTACAGACAAACGGGGCCGCGTGTCCGTGCTCGAGCGCCGGGTGCCGGCCCTCACCTTCCACCTTGACCTGGTTGGCGGCGCACTCGGGGCACGGCAGCAGCGTGAACTCCTCCGCCTGGTGCATCGAGAAGTCGGTGCTCGCCACGACCACGCGATCGCCCGCGCGCCACGACCGCGCGTCCTCCGCCAGGGTCAGCACCGTCGCGTTGGACAGCGGCTCCACCGTGACCCGCACCGACGGGCGAGCTGCGGTCAGACAACGCGCGCGACCGTGACGAACTGCTCCCCGGCACGGTCGCTGGCGAACCCGCCGCGGTTCGCATTCCGTGACTCGCTGGCCCCGTGCCCCACTGGGCATCCGTGAGAAAGAGCTTCATAGCTCATCGGATTCCTCCTCCAGTGGAAATAAACATTCTGATCCTGATTCTGTTTCTCCAGCGTGGCCGAGTGGCTCCGAGGTCAGAGACGCTGAACCGGCAAGGCCGAGGACATCGGCCGCCCGTGCTGAAACTGGGTTTTGAAGTGCGGTGAGATGATGGTCTCAGCCAGGTCACCAATGACCGCACAACAAGAAACCCGATGCGGCTGGCTGACTGGTGTGTGGCTGGCTTTCTGATGCGGCCGGCTCATCGGCGTGTGGCTGCCTCAGCACTGTGTGGCTGGCTCACCGGTGTTTGACTGGCTCACCGATGTGTGGCTGCCTCACCGCTGTGTGGCTGGCTCATCGGCGTGTGGCTGCCTCAGCACTGTGTGGCTGGCTCACCGGTGTTTGACTGGCTCACCGATGTGTGGCTGCCTCACCGCTGTGTGGCTGGCTCATTGGCGTGTAGCTGGCTCATCGGCGTGTGGCTGCCTCAGCACTGTGTGGCTAGCTCACCGGTGTTTGACTGGCTCACCGATGTGTGCGACTGGCTCACCCTTGCGGCCGCACAGGAAGCGGACGCGGTAGTTGTGGCAGCGGCCGCCCTGCTGGTCCTGGTTGCGGCAGGCGAAGCCGTAGGCCCGGTTGCTGCGGTGGAATCCCTGGAGCGTGAGCTCGGCCGGGAGCCCGTCCAGCGTCGTCACCTGCACGGCGCCACCATCGTCATCGTCAACATCGTCAGCCGCGGTCTATCTACTGCTCGATGCAGGCTTACGGGGGGTGACGGATAGACGGACTCATGGATTGGTGTATTTACGAATGGGCCGATGGACGAGACAGAAAGGTTGATGGATAAACCCAAAGGTGAAGTGACTCATGGACAGACGTATGGGTGGGTGGGTGGAGGGACAGGTGGACGGACAAACGCACGGCACGGAGTCACAGCACGGACGAACTCTGCGGTGACGTCCAGCGTCGTCACTTGCATGACCACATCGTCGTCACCATCAACATGATCGGCCGTGATCTATCTACTGCTGATGTAGGCTTACCCAAGCCGATAGATAGATGGACTAACGGATGGATATATTTATGAACGGACGGACGGACGGACGCATGGATGAGACATGAAGGTTGATGGATAAACCGAAAGTTGACCAGACTCATGGACTGATGTATGGATGGGTGAGTGGGTGGATGGACAGGCGGACGGACAAACGCACGGCACGGAGTCGCGGCACGGGCGAACTCTGTGGGCTCACCTGGATGTCGAGGGGGTGAGCGCAGATGGCCCCGGGATTCTCGCTCCTCAGGGTCGAGAGATTCTCCCAATCGCCCGTGCCGCCCTGGTCGTCCCGGTTGAACCAATCCGTCCACTCCACGTCTGCCGGTGATGGGGGACGTGGCGCAGGGTTATGGACCGGCAAGAAATGTGTTGCCCACGGTGCACGTGGCACGATGAGTGACTCGGCCCGCTCACAATATCGTAGTTAGCTGAGTGCTTTGCGGTGACCGCCATTCCGATACGAAGAAGACACTGGGAACTATCCACTTTTAAATCAGAGATTAAAAACTCATTTCTTTAGAAGTGCTTTTTTGTTTTCAGTTTGTTGTCCCCCCCCCCCTCCCCCGCACCTACGGTTGGCACGGTTGTCTACGTACGGTGCCAAAGAAGTTTAACATACATACCTACACACATACGCCTGCGACGTATGTGTGTTGGTATGTTAGATATTAATTAAATGGATAATGTGATACACGCATCACATTGTGTGCTCGTGGAAACTGACCATTTAGTAGTCACGTGAACGGTATAGTTTTGCTACGACTTCCCAGTAAACTCTGAAGGTTGGGCCAGCGTTGGTCAAACAGTTCCAGCCGCACGAGCCAACAACTTGGCCATGTTTACTGGGTGGGCTCCTGAAGCAGCAGGGGTAGTGATAGGGGCTGTGGCAGTGATAGGGGTTGGGGTAGTGATAGGGGTTGGGGTAGTGATAGGGGTTGGGGTAGTGATAGGGGTTGGGGTATATGATAGGGGTCGTGATAGGGGATCGGATAGGCCTGGTCGTAGCTGGGTGTTAGGTAGTAGCAGTAGTAGCAGGATGATGGGCGAGGGGGAGCAGAGATGGGGGTTGTTTTCAGTGAGGGACAGAAGCCGCGGGCATCGCGTGAGGACGATTGCTCTCTGTGCGTGTCGCGGGTGGAGTTGGTTCCAGCAGTGAAGGGGAGCGAGAAGGGAGACGGAGCGAGAGAGATCGAGGCTGGGCTCAGCAGGGCGAGGGATGCACAGAGAGAGAGAGTGGAGATTTGGAGCGAATCAAATCGTGACCTCCGAGTTTGCGTGTCTCTCTCTCCCCATGGATTTATCTCTGGGTCCTCAGGTTTTTCCCCTCCACATTTAGAATCAAGTCACGCGTTCAGAGTGTTTGGGTACCGCTGTAAGTGTCCACGTGATGATAGGCCACTTTCGTTGAGCCATCATTTGTGACGGCCAGGCCGCTTCTCGAAACAGAGCTGTACACGGCTCAGTGGGCCTGAGCTGGTAAAATTAAAAGTTGAGTTTCGAATCTCTGGTAGGGTGGGGGCGTGGGGGTGTGGGCGTTGAGGTGTGGGGTGTGGGGCAGTGCCGGATTATCCTAGGAGCAAAAGTAGAATATGCTACGGGCCCCGTAGTATTTACTACTTTTGCTTCCAAGCTATCAATTCCGGTTCAGTGATTCTGCACTTGCTTTATTACTATAGTACTATACTTCCTTCACTATTTTGAACGACTGGGTGTTTAAGGTTAGCGATTTGTCATATTATCTGGCTGTATAACAAATGTAAAAATACAATTACTTTACTATGCAAGTTAAAATATGTGTGCGTTTTAATATTTACGTGTGTTTTTTTTTTATTTAGGGCCCCTTTGTAACATATGCTACAGGCCCCGCGCTAGCTTCATCCGGCACTGGGTTGGGATGTATCGGTGGAAGCCCCCCCCCCCCCTTACCTTGGGTCCACTCGCTGAGCGTCGACACGGTGTAGAGGTCACCGGCGGCGGTGCGGAAGAGTTTGGCCGCCTCCGCCATCGTTCGACCCGTGGTTCCTGCCGTGGCGAGTTATTGAACTCATTAACGACGACGACGAACGACAAACGAGTGGACACGCGCGTCAATAACCACCGCGCGGTTGGCCTCGACAGATCGACGTGTCCGATAGCTGAAGCGTAGGCCAATGGGCCCTTCTTTCGCGGCACGTGAACGGAGAGGCTGTTAGGGAGGCGGGAGTGGAGTTTTGAAGGCTGCGCTTGTTCACCCTGGGGGGCCTAACGAGAGTTTACACGTTTGAGATGTTATTCGATGACCGGTTGTTGGATGTGGCTTGTAAATATTTACACTCAAGGTAAGGCTTGGACAACAACAACCCCCCCCCCCCCCTCAACGAACTTATGACAACTAAATAAACAAATACTTATCGCACGCGAGCGTATCGTCAAATGGCCATAAACGCAAACAATTCAAAATGAGAAAGCCAATTTATGATTGACCCCTGCGAGAGCCTCATTTTGGGTCTCAAGATGGCGTGTTCAGTTCGGGGACCCGCGACGTTTGCCCAATTGCGCGAAATGAGTGTTTGGTTTCACGTTGGGGGAAACCGGAGAACGCCTGGGGTCACCGCGTTTGTAGCGTGGTGCGCTAACCACTGCACCCTCCAGTCGTATACAACAATTACACAAATTACACAGCATGTCTATCGAACCAAGATTCCCCCCGCTCCCGTCTAGCATGAGCAGACTGTTGGGGACATGTGCTACCTTGTAAGGCTGGCACGGCACAACCAGGGGGTGGGTGGCCAAACGCCACACTCGGCCGCCTTTGTCTCCCCGGTGCTGATGTGTACACCACCGGTACCAAGTATCTCATTAAAGGCTGAGTCTACCTAGGTGGAGGCCCGAAACGCGGTTCAGATATTCGTCACTGATATTGGTTACGAGTGAGAATCGAACGCGCGGATTGCCGGCTTCGTAACGTAATGCGCTAACCACCACGTTAAATATATACATACTGCCCATTGCGCATGAACACGAGTTGGCTAATATTGAACATTAAGGGCAGGTGGTAAAGGAGGTCAGGTAACAGAGTAAGAGATGCGGGGCAGCCACCGAGGCAGGCTTTAGACGGCGTGGCCACACGAAACACGAGGCCAGATGTTGTGTTTAGTTTGGTGTCCTTCCTCCGATTAGCGTCGCAGTCAACCCGTACCGGTTTACCCCGTATTCTTGTCCAGGGAAATTGAGTTTGCAGGTCCATACGGCGTACAGCCGTTTCAATACGGGCAACTTCTGTCTGTCTCTTTGTTTGCGTGATGGGACTTTGTGGGATGAACGTTGACATTTACAAGGGCACGGGGTGACCAATGAGGTCTGAATTGGTCTGCAAATAAGGTAGGCACCGATAAGGGGTTGACAGCGATGGACTAGAACGGTTGGTTACGTACGGAGCCAAAGAAGTTCAACAGGTCAGGGTGAGCAGGCGTTGAATGCCAGGCGGTTCAGGAGTCCAGAGTGGAGGGTTGCTGGGGGGGGGGGGGCAGGTTGATGTCATAGTGCCACCAGCTGGCCGTTTAGGGGCGTGCGCTTATCTCGAATCGTGTAAAGTTGGATTTCGTTGCGTGCGGCGGTAATTGCGAGATTCTCACACAAGAGTCCCTGCGATGGAGTGGGGGGGGGGGGGGCGGTTAATGGGGGGACTCAGAGTGGGAGGAGAGAGCAAGTTGGTATCATCACCCGGCTGCGCTGATCCAGCGCTTAGGAGGCAAAGGGTTGGTGGGTTACCGACCCAGAGATTCATCATCATCATCATCACGATCCATGGGGCAGGAGGTGTCCGCTCCATATATCGTCACTTGTTGTCTCCACGTCCCTCTCCCTCTGCCTTGCGCCAATGTGGCTCAAGTCAGTGCCACGACTTCCTGGCATCGATCTCTCGTGACGACGTCGCCCTCGAGCCGTTCTCTCTCTTCCTCCCTCTGAGGTTCCTTCCCATTTTTGTCCGAACAACACAATTTTAATATCACTGTTGTTGTCCATCCTGCGGCACGCGTCCAAATAGTGCCAGTCTCCTTCTCATCACTGCCTGCATCATCATCATCAGGTTGTCTTCTTCTACGTGCAACCTTTTTCTTACGTTTGGTTACTCTTTGGGTCCGGCTTAGATGCAGAAACCTTCTGATGCAATACATTTCGAGTGCCACTATCTCATCCTCCGTCAGCCTTTAAAAAATATATCAATCTTGCTATACGGTGTACGTTAAGTCCTCGCTCAACGCGTGTTTTTCGCTTGACGCGGCACTTTTTCAGGAACGCATCTACCGCGTTAGACGAGGACTAGCCGCACGGCACTCGCAAAGCCGCTCGGTGAGCAGAAGAGCGAGTGGGATCGTCGATTTGTTTCTGTGAACACGTCTCGCCTCGTCTTGTGGTAATGAATGAGCGAGCGGTGGCTTCCCTCTCCAAGTACATTATACGGCAACGTAAAAGGTGCAGCTATGAGGGTTGGAGAGACCCAGGGGAGATCTCGAGGGAGTTGGGTTACCTGCAGTCGACCCCTGAGACTCCACGGCGGAGCTGGGATCTCCCTTCACGGCCACGAACGCCCACGGCTGCCTGATCCGACAAACGACACCGGCACGGCGGACCGACAATTACCGAGTGTGTGTGAGTTTGTGTGGGTGGGTGTGTGTGTGTGTGGGTGTGTGTGTGGGTGTTTGTGTGGGTGGGTGTGTGTGGGGGTTGTGTGTAGCGGTTAGCGTGCTGCACTATAAACCTGGCGACCTGGGTTCGATTCCCGCTCACGGCCAACACCAGGGACGATTATCTTAACCGGTCCTGGGCCACCCCTAGGTCGACTCAGCCTGATATGAGTACCTGGTGCGATGTGTAAGCATCGCCACTGGGGAGACAAAGGCGGTCGGGCGTGATGCTGGCCACCCACCCCTTCGTGTACCGTTCCGGCCTTCATAGGTGCTCGCTAACAGCACTTGCCCCTCCAGTCTGTAAGGCTATACGGGGGATCTTTGTCTATCTTTGTGGGTGTGTGTGGGGAGCGGTAGTGTAGCGGTTAGCGCGCTGCGCTACGAACCCGGTGACCCGAGTTCTATTCCCGCTCACGGCCAACATCCAGTGACGATTATCTTAACTGGTCCTGGGCCTCCCCTAGGTCGACTCAGCCTCAAATGAGTACCCGACGCTCGCGAACAGCACTTAACCCCGACAGTCCGTTAAGGAGATTCGGATGATTATTTGTCGTGCGTGAGCGAGCGAGCGAGTGGCTGCAACTGTGCGCGCGTAAACCTCTTCGTTTCTAAGCTCAGTGCGGGGGGGGGGGGGGGGGGCGTTCTCCCTCCCTGCCCCCCCTGAACGCGCCCGACGCCCATGCCAAACGTTCGTCCTGGGTGCAATCGGCGCGGGGCCCCACCGGAACGCGAGGCGGCCCACGGCACGACCGCCGAGCCTCTGCACGGCGACCCTCGCGGTCGCGTCGAGGTTGCGCGAGCCGCCGTCGTCGTTGACGGCCATGGAGACGACACGGCCGCTAGGGAGCGAGTCGAGGTGCGAGGCGAGGCGGCGAGACTCGGCGCGGCTCTTGAACGTGTCGAAGCTGATGGGGGGCACAGGGGAGTGAGAGGTGTGTGTGGGGTAGGAGGGGGTCGGAGGGTCAAACGCGACGATGATGATGGTGATTTTGGATGACGGTGATGGTAATGATCGTGACCGCTGGCAATAGCAGCAGCAACAGTGATGATGAGTATTCTTAGGTTTTTTCGGTAAAGTCACGTAGGTAAAACATTAAAATTAATAAAAGTAAAATAAAAAAATAAAAATCACGACGTTTCGGAGGCAACACAGGCTTCCGTCTTCAGGTGACGGAAGCTTGTGTTGCCTCCGAAACGTCGTGATTTTTATTTTTATTTTACTTTTATTAATTTTAATTTTTTACCTACGTGACTTTACCGAAAAAACCTAAGAATATGAATCCTTGCAGTCACGAAAGCTTCAAATCTAGAAGTGGTGATGAGTTTGGTGACGGCGATGATGGTGATGATGATTACAAAGACAACAGCGAGGGCTGCGATAGCAAATTTAAGACAGCAACGACGGCGGCGACAAACGACGATTTTTATGGTCACAGCGACGACAATGACAACAACACCACAACAAAGACAACATCATCAACAACAACGACGACAATGACACCAACGGCAACATGACAACAAAGACAAGATCAAAAGAGCAAGCAGCCATAGCAGCAACTGGATCAACAATGGCAACAACAACAACAGCCATCGGGGGGGGGGGCGAACAGGGGGTTGGGGTGGTAGATCTGGTGGGGGGAGGGGGGGAAGCTGGTGGGGGGGGGGGGCGGGGGTAGATAGGGGGGGGGGAAGTGGGGGGGAGACCTGGTGGGGGGGGAAGTGGGGGGGGGGAGACCTGGTGGGGGGGGGGGGTAGATGGGGGGGGGAGATCGCATCTCACCGGTCTACGGACAGCACTGCGCCGGTGTTGTGGTCCAGCACGTGCACCACGATGCCGCGGTACCCCCAGCTCCGCTCGAGGCGGTAGCTCTTCACGGCGGCGCTGCCGCTCCTCCCGTGGCTCCCGTCGGCACCCGCCGCCGCCTCCTCCTCCTCGCCCGGCGGAGGCTGCGGTGGGCGGACAGTCGGCGAGCAACGCACGCACGTGCGATTTAAACATCAAAATTAATTTTTTTATTTCGATTTAAAGCTTTCGTGACTGCAGGGATTCATCTTCTTGGTTCTTTCGGTAAAGTCACGTAGAAGGAAAAGAATAAAATAATAAAAATAAAATATAATAAAATATATGTTTTATTTTTATTATTTTCCTTCTACATAAAAATAAAACATAATAAATATATGTTTTATTTTATTATTTTATTATTTTCCTTCTACGTGACTTTACCGAAAGAACCAAGAAGATAATTTTTTTTTATGTTTTTAACGTAACAACCTCAGGTCGAGGTGAGTTTTTGAGGCGTAAAAAGTGTCACCGTTGTGTCATACGCCCCTCCTCCACCCGGCTCGGCCAAATGAAATGCACACGGAGCACCGCGGTGGCGATGAGATGTTAACTCCCTCGCCTGATATACAGGATGTCGTGGGTTCGACCTCGACTCTGACGCTTGCTGTAGATTTGGAGTTTGCGTGTGTCTCTCTCTCCCCGTGATCGCGTGGATTTTTCTCGGGGTCTCCCGGTTTTTCCCTCTACATTAAGAATCAACATGACGCGTTCAAAGTATTTAGCTGCTATGAATTTCCACGTGATGATCAGCCACTTTCTTGAGCTGTCATTTGTGACCAGGTCGCTTCTGAAAAAGAGCTACATAGCTCAGTGGGCCTTACCTGGTGAAACTAAAAAGAGAGTTTAGTTTAGTTTCCAAGGATGGTAGTGCACGTGGAATCTCGCGGAAGCAAGTCGGAGTGCTTCCTGGTGTCGTGACAAAGACAAATGTATCGCAGCCAAATACTCTAAACGCCTAATGTTGATTCTAAATGTTGAGAGAAACATCGGAGGACCCAGAAGAAAAATCCCCGCGACCACGGCGAGAGAGAGAGAGACGCGCGCAGACTCCACCTATACAGCGGGCTTGGTCAGGGTCGGGGTCGCGTGTTCATAGACGCGGCGCGAGAAAGGCCGACTCACGGGGTGAACGGTGCCGTTCAGGAAGGTCCAGGAGAGTTTTGGCGCTCCGTGCACCTCCAGGGTCCCGCCGCGTCCCACTCCCACGAACTTGAGGCCGAAGTAAGGGTGTGCTTCCTCCGTCACCTCGTCCGACCTACGGACGTCGAGGAACGAACATTCACGGAGCTGACAAGATGGAGGCCACGGGGTCAGGAGACAATGAGCTGGCGCAACACACGCCCGGCACACAGCGTCCAGGATACCTCTCGCTGTTGGCTGTGGCTACCGATCACTTTAGTGACAAATTGAGCCCCACGTGTCATCATTAACACGTGGCATCGTGGCCAGTTCATAAAGAGAGTGAGTAGATGGATATGTTGAGTAGAGTGAGATGGTCAGACTGCCCAGGTAAAGGGAATGAGATCTCACTCACCTGGAGTAGAGTGAGATTGTCAGCCTGCCCAGGTAAATGGAATGAGATCTCACTCACCTGGAGTAGAGTAAGATGGTCAGGCTGCCCAGGTAAATGGAATGAGATCTCACTCACCTGGAGTAGAGTAAGATGGTCAGGCTGCCCAGGTAAAGGGAATGAGAGCTCACACACCTGGAGTAGAGTGAGATGGTCAGGCTGCCCAGGTAAAGGGAATGAGAGCTCACACACCTGGAGTAGAGTGAGATGGTCAGGCTGCCCAGGTAAGGGCAGTCCTCGCTGCCCACGTGGAGCTCCCCTCCGTCCTCGATGAGGATGGAGCGAGTTCGAACCACGATGGCCTCATCCCGTCGGTCGGCGATCACGAGTTTCCCTGCACGAGGGACGGGACAGGGCCGGTCAGAGGGGTTCACGAGTAATCATCGTCGTCATCAGCATCGTTGTCATAATCTGCATCATGATCGTCGTCATCATCGATCTATCCGCCAGAAGTTGTGCGTTGGTGGCCTATGCCGCCATAGCGCGTGGCAGCATCTGCCCGTCGCTCAGCTGTTACTTCAATAAGGAAAGGGGGAGGGGGGGGAGGCTAAAGGAGGGCCTCACAAAAATGAGGGCCCTACAAATAAACGAGGGCCCATGGGGTAATCCCGGCTCCGGAGACAGCGAGACGGGCACGCGTCGTCCGCTCAACGTCACGTGGTGGTGTTTTTGTCGTTGGAGACGGCAGGGGGCAGCACGTGCCCGACTGTGTCACCCCCACCCCGGGCAGCTCACCGAGGAGGGGCATTTTGAAGTGATGCAGAGAGGCCGTAGCTCCCTTGTCTACCGCAGGCAGCCGGGACACTTCCTAGCAGGCGTGGGCGCATGCTCGGTGCTGTTTGGCTTGTGGAGGACAGGTCGCTGGTGCTCACCGATCTCCCACGGGGCATCCGTGAAACAAGCTTGAGAGTTTGAGAGCTCGTCGCATTTCCTCCAGTATAAATAAGTATTCTGATTCTGAAGGGTTTAGGTTGGCCGAGACTAATAAAGGAGCTTCAGCCAAAGGCAGGGAAGGGGGCTGCTCTTTTTGCTCGATGTAATGGACGACAGATGGCGATGACGACGATAATTGTGATCACGGATTGTATTTGAAATATGTATTTTACAATCGTTCCCAATGGCTCCTGGTTTTTTGTAGTTGAGTGAGATTGTCACAGATGATGATGATGGTGATTATTGTTATTATTAATTCAACAATATGATATCCACTATATGTTTGACAATCTTTCCGAATGTTTCCCCTGATTGCGAAGAGATGGTGATGACGATATGACGATCAAAGATCAAACTCTCTACACCGCGACGAACAGCACTCGAGAATGCACAAAGACAAAGATCCAAATATTCCCCGTATAGCTTTCAACAGACTCTCGGGGCAAGTGCTGTTCGCAAGCCGCTGTGTTTACACATCGCACCCGGTACTAACGTATTGAGTCAACGTAAGGTGGAGGACCAGAACCCGTTCAGATAATCGTCACAAGTGTCGGCTGTGAACTAGAATTGAACTCGGCTCCCGTTCGGGTTCGTAGCGTAGTGCGCTAACCACGACTACACTGTCACGGGACTGCACACAAATACAAAGATCCCCCGTATAGCCTGAACAGACTGTTGGGGCAAGTGCTGTTTGCGAGTAGCACCTATGAAGAGCGGTACGGCACACCAGGGGAATGGTGGCCAACACCACACCCGGCCGCCTTTGTCTCCCTCGTGGCGATGTTTTTACGCACCGCACAAGGTACTAATTTAAGGCTGATTCGACCTAGGGAAGGCCCAGAACCGGTTCAGATAATGATCACTGGTGTCGGCCGTGAGCGGGAATTGAACCCGGATGGCCGGGTTTGTAGCTCAGCGCACTAACCGCTACACTACCGCTCTCCACACGCAGACACGCACGCACACACGCGCGCGAACTCTTCAGTCAACCGAAGCAGGGCGACTTCCAAACAAACAAAAAAATTCAAAACATTACCTAAACGTTTCAAAAACACGGCGATAGAAAAAAAATCATTTAGACATCAAGACAGACAGACAGCAGCAGCAGCCGGCCACGTGGAGCTCAAGCGGATGGGTTTCCCGGTGAATTTTAAACGCTCGCGCCGTGCATGCGCCGTCAGTGCGACTCCGATAGGGAACGCAGATTGCATAGCGGAGAGCAGGGGGCACCCTGAGCGGGTCACGTGCTGCTTGCGGTGGTGGCTACGCTGATGCACGTGGGCTGCATGCACTCCAGCCCTGTGGAGGCGGTATCGTGGCTCGTCTGCATATCTCTGTGAGCGTGAGTTGAACGTTTAACCTACTCACGCCGGATTGTGCCCGCCCTCACAGTCGACCATATTTGCGGAATACACCACGCTGCCGTTGACCCTGGCCATTGACCGAGCAACCCAACGTTCCTACCAGCTCCCTCCGCAGGCATGTGTTATTGATGGAGGTACATTTGCGTGTACTCCGCAATTCCTTCGCCCCCCCCCACCTTCTCTCCCCCCATTGCTCCCCACCCAGCCCCTCCCCTCCCCCCCCCCCTCCCTCGGTTACCTCCACCGTGCACGTGCACCGAGTGGAAGGAGGCGGAGGCCACGAGGAGGAGGGCCTTGCCGGGGCCGATGTCCGCGCGGAGACTCGCGTCGTGGCCCGGGCGCCACGGGACGAGGCCCTTGGCTCGCTCGGGACACGCGGCCCCTCCTAAAGTAGGGAGAGGCAGAAGGGGGGGGGGGGGGGTGCAGGGAGACAGGCCGACGGACAGGCAAGCAATATTAATGAACGATAGACACTCATAAAAACGTGCATATATCCAATACAAAATTGCATTCTGAATTAATTGCTAATTAATGTCATAGGTTGATTGACGATCCAGTACTCATTGATTCATACAAATCACTCTCTTAATTGACGCTGTTTGTTGTTTCTGGCTGCTTTGGTGCCTGTGCTCAGCAACTGTTATATACATACATAGAGGGTGGCCCAAAAGACAGGACACAGGGTGACATTGATTTTAACAAGTCACATTGAGTGATTTTAATTTAACAGGTATTCAAACTGACTCTCATTAACGTTCCTGCACACATTAATTCGCTTTTGAAATAAAAATGCAGTTGTAATCTTTGAACATTCATCCATTACAAAGGTACTGATTGGATGTGACCCTCACAGGAAGAAATTAGATATTAATAAATATGATATATAAAATATATTCACTTTAAGCATAAACTTTTAGGCCACGCTCTATTCATGAAAAAAAATACTTTTAAAATCTAAATCCAATTCTGGAGATCTGAATCCCAGACGAGCTGTTCTTTGTTCAAACTCGCCCGCGCGTTTTTTATGAAAACAATCTTCTTTGCTCTGGCTCAGAACCCGGTTAATGTCCCGAGGGTGGGAGATGGGACAGACACCCCCCTATCCGTCATCTTCCAACCATCACCACCCATCAACCCTCCCCGTACCACGTGTGTCCCTCCCACGTGCACCACCAGCAGCAGCAGCACCACCACCCCCGCCGTGTCAGGCGCGTGCAACCCGCCTGGTCCTCCCCTTGACATCACCGCGGTCAGTGTCACGTTCACTCCCCTCTCACTCTCTCTCTCTCGTGTAACCGCGAGAGGTCACACACAGGTCCGCACGTGCATCTATCATCTTCACGAGCTGGGCGAAACCAGTGACACAAGGGCAAGGCTCAGTGTGTGTGTATGTGTGGGGGGAGCGGTGGTGCAGCGGTTAGCGCACTCCGCTACGAACCCGGCCACCCGAGTTCGATTCTTGCTCACGGCCAACACCCGGTGACGATTATCTGAACCGGTCGTGGGTCACCCCTAGGTCGACTCAGCCTCAAATGAGTCCCTGGTGTGCTGTGTAAACATCACCACTGGGGGAAACAAAGCCGGCCGCGCGAAGTGTTTGGCCACCAACCTCCACGTGTGCCGTGTCGGCCTTTATATGGTGCTCACGAACAGCACTTGCCCCCCCTATGGCGAGGCTATTTGGGTGATCTTTGTCTTTGTGATCACAAACGCTGATGAATCCACAACCACGAACAGCGACACGTGGCCGTGCGCCGGCCTTAATGGGCGCTCCGCTTATCGCGTTGCTGCACCGAGTACACGTCGCATAATGATTGTGTAACCTCTGTGGATTCCACCGTCAATTGTTGGTTGTTGTTGGGTGTTGTTGTTGTTGTTGTTTTGTTGGCCCGTTTGTTTTTGTTGCTGTAATTGTCAATCTTAAATGTTCTCCCGTCTCCTGAAGATGCCCGCAGTAGTCGCGTGGCGAAAGCCGGAGCGAAAACTACATAATGCACACTCCAGTATTATTCGTAATAAAGTGTTTAATATTCGTATTTATAATATTGGTCGCGAAAGCCTACGTGTGAAACTCCGAGTATTCTCAACTCGCAAACCAACCCCGGGTGACAAGGCGGCTACTCACCCATTTGTTGAATCTCAAAATATTGTTCGAATAACAATGTTTATTGTTCAAAAGAAAGCAGCAGGCCGTTTGCCAATCCGCCGCGGTGTCAATCACGGGGGTTCTTCATTTGACCATACTTCACCACGCCACTTCAATGGGGGGCTGGTGAAGTGGGGGGGGGGGGGGGGGGGCGGGACAGTTAGGGAAGTTAGCCGTAGCCGGGAATGGCACTCCTGTGGCTGTTGCATGAACGCGAGTTACGCCGTGTTATTGCTCGTTACACCACGCTGACTGCGCGTGACGTCGCCCGCTCGGATGTACATTCGCCAGGTAATCCACACGACCCTTGGTCGAGCAGGTGACGAGGTTGGACTTCGCCCAGCCCCCGGGAGAAACTTGTCCCCAACGCCCCCCTCCCTCCATCCCCTCTCCCTCCCCCCTCCCTCCCCCCTCCCTCCCTTCCCTCTCCCTCCCTCCCCCTCCCTCCCCTCTCCCTCCCCTCTCCCTCCTCAACGCCGCTCCCACCCACCCCCCTCTCTCCGTCGCTTACCTCCACCCCCGCCCACCTGTCACCTTCACCTGTCCACCCAACATAACTCACGCATCTCTACGTCTACCCACGCGCACTCAGGGTCCATCCTAAACACCCACCCGTATGTTCACTTACACACCCACCTATCTACCTACTCATCCACCTACTTATTCACCTACCTGTACAGCTGCCGGTTCGCCCACCGAGGTGCCTACGCACCCACTCACCTATTCACCAGCATTCCCACGTACCTGTTTGCTCACCCACCCACGTGTCCAACCACCTACCCGCTCGTCCACGCGTCTACCTATACGCGAGCCCACATACACAGCCACTGGTTGTACCTACCAGCCCCCGCCTGGCCATCTCCACCCCTACCTGTCCACATACCTCTGTGTCCACCCACACACTCACCTCACCCACCCACCCAATCGCCTTCACAGCCACCACACCTTTCCACCTACCCACCCACCCACCCACTGACCCACCTAACCCACTCACCTGTCTCCCCACCCAGCCATCCACCCGTCCACCTGTCCACCCTCACCACGCCCTCGCTGTGACGCATGGCCACACCCGGCACGATGGGATTTCGCTGGAATCCCGCGGAGATCGAATCACTCAGCGCCCGAGCCGCGCGCGTTCAGCCCCCCCCCCCTCCCTCCCCGCCCCCCACGACTTTGATCTTTCAAGCGGTCGGCTCGGGCCGCTTCTCACTCCGACTAGCGGCTCGAAATGTTCCACTTCCCTATGCCGGGGGGGGGGGGGGGCCGGGCGTTCGCAATGTAGAGTCACCCGCAAAGGTAATTGGAGACCGATTCGTTCGGGTTGTTATGATGATGATGATGATGGCTTTAATGGCGTATTCGATGAACTGGCCTGAATTACGATGCTGCAGGAGGAGGGGGAAGCAAGGACTGCACCGCAGACCGAGCCACCTGAGTTCGATTCCCGAGAGTTAACACCAGTGACTGGTTAGATGAACTAGTTAGTGATAGAGCATCTCGCCGCTCCTCCCATTGCACCGTCATCGTATTTCCACTTGAAACTCAACAAACTTGTCAACAACACTGCCTTATAAAATATGTAGGTAATCGGCGACGTTTCGGGCAATGGCCCTTCTTCAAAGAACATCGGTCATTTCGCTCGCATGCCCTCCCCCTCCTCATGCTCTACAGCGCGCACTTGTTCGAAGTACTGGACCAAACACAGCAATTGAAACTTAAGCTAGTTCATACAATTATTTAAAATGAAACTAAAGAGTCAAGGGGAGTACAAGGGGATAGACGGGGAAGTGATGGAGAGAGGGAGGAGGAGCAGGAGGGGGGGGAGGAGTCGGAGTCGGGGTGAGTTGAGGGTGAGTTCGGGGTTGAGTCAATGAGCTCACCTGGTGAGCTTTGTCCGATGACTCCCAGCGAGAGACACAGCAGCAGCAGCAGCTGCTGGGGCATCACCTCCTGCATGGCGGCACGGCTCTCCTACACCTGTGTGTGCCCAGGTCGCACCTACACCCACAGGTAAACGACAGAGGGTGGAGAGGTGAGGAGAGGGATGGGGGTGGGGGCCAGGTGTACCGCTTTTAATATCGATACCTGTAATTATACCTCGACAATTGACATTTTGCGATGTGGATTTACGCGGCGTCTCGATGCGCTGCACAGAAACATCGACGCGCCGGCAGCCGGCCACGTGGTCGTCCTGTCACTTAGACACGTGTGGCATCACTTAGACACGTGCGTGTGGCATCACTTAAGCGGTGGTGGGGGGGGGGGGCGCTGACCTGCGCGGGAGCAGACAAGGCAGAGGAAGGGAGAGGAAGCCGGTAGCAGAGAGAGGATGCGAGAGTGGGACACGCGGAGACGCACACGCGGAGGAGGTATGCGTGGAGACACTGACGCTAAGGCACGCGGAGATAGACGGCAGAGAGCGAGACCGGCAGAGGAAAGACGCGGAGATCGACAGCAGACACCCGCATCGAGAAAGAAACATAGACACAACCGGAGAACACAAAGACAGACGCACACATAAAGACATGAAGGAGGGGGGGGGGCTCTCCAATCACGCGGTTGGGGGGGGGGCATGGACCCGTGCGTGCATATTAAGCACGCACACAAAGATACAAAGATCCCTCGTATAGCCTTAACAGACTGTAGGGGCAAGTGCTGTTAGCGAGCACACACACACGCACACACACACGCATGCACGTGCGTACGCATGCACACACGCGCACGCACTCACACACACACGCATGCACGCACACACACACGCACTCCATCGTGCGAAAACTATCACGGCTGCAAGAAAGACCACTGGCAGTGAGCCCTCTCACCTGCTCGCTACAGCAGTGCCAGGCGACAGCAGTGGAAGAGGGCGCGCGTGTCAACGAGGTAAGTTGCGATGCCGCGAGTCGCTCGGAGCTCACTCGCCCCGGCGTGTGCCGCCGCGTGTGCGTGTCGCGTGTGTGTGTTGTGTGTGCACGTGTTGCGAGTCGTCGTGCGTGCCGCGTGTGTGCACGTGTTGCGCTCCCTTGTCGCCGAGTTTATAGGCCGGCAGAGAGCGAGCGAGCGCATTCCGCTGTCCCTCCCTCCCTCCTCTCTCGCTCTCTCGCTCACTCGCTCGCTCCCACCGTCGCGGTGCGTAAATTCCAAGGATGACACAGAATGTACAGAGATTCTCTGGGCGAGCGCACACACTTATACACACACACACACAGCTATTTGTAAAACATACACACCTACATACGTACAGGGCAAACCCCCCCCCACCCCCACAACTACCCACAGGGCATACTCATCAGCACACATAGCCACCGCTGTATATGAGATATAATCACCCACAACATACACACACCTACACTTGCACCTCCACAACGTACACACTTTTAATATTTCGTTTGTTGTCCTTCCCCCACACCTCCGAGTAACACGGTTGGTTGGCTACGTACGGTGCGAATAAGTTCAACATACGTCCGCACACCTGTGCGTCACATTGTGCCAACTTGCTGCATTATAGCCGCCCGTCGCTCCTCTGCCCTCACGCACGACCGCCTTCAATTGCCCAGTGGCGCCCTTCACCAACCTCGTCCACCTCATGACACCCTTGGTCTTCTGCAAGACCACGCAGCTCCACATCCTCCTGTACCACAACAGGCCATCTCTTGTCTAGCTCGTGCCGCGCCTGTTTAGCCCCCCCCCCCTCTATCCGGGCAAAGAAACGCTGCTTGGGCATGCGGTGGCTGGGGCATGCGGGCTTCGCGACCCAGCCCAACGCAGCCAACGCCTGCCGGAGGAGCTCACCGATGGGAATGTGATCGTAGGGTGGCCAGACGAAATGTTTCTAACCGGCGCAATAACAACTCCCCACTCAGTCGATGCCAAATGGGGACGCTGCGGTGGTTGTGAGCAATGCCAGACGTGGCCAACGGGGTCTCTGGAAGGGTACGAGGGGCGAGTAGACCATTCACCTTCAACACATTACTGCTAGGAACCTCCTGGTTACACCAGCCCACAGGGGATTATTATGTACGTCCGTCGTGTAGGGAGGGGTTGGGTGGAGAGGGGAGGGTGGGGAGGGGCTGGGTGGGGAGGTTGGGGCTGGGTGGGGAGGGTGGGGCTGGGTGGGGAGAGGCTGGGTGGGGAGGGGCTGGGTGGGAGGTGTGAGGGGTGGGGCTGGGTGGGGAGGGGCTGGTCACCCCGTGATGCCCTTATAAAACTCAACGTTTAACCTACTCACGCCGGCTTGTGCCCGCCCTCATAGTCGGGCATATTTGCGGAATACACCACGCCGCCGTTGACCCTGGCCATTGACCGAGCAACCCAACGTTCCTCCGCAGGAATGTGTTTCCTGCAAAACCACAGAACGCACAAAGACAAAGGTCCCCCCGTGTAGCCTGTAACAGACTGTTGGGGCAAGTGCCGTTAGCGAGCAGCTATGAAGGCCGGCACGGCACACGAGCGGGTGGGTGGCCAACACCGCGCCAGACCGCACCGGGTAGGCTGAGTCGACCTAGGGGAAGCCCACGACCGGTTCAGATATTTGTGACCGGTGTGGGCCGCGAGCAGGAATCGAACTCGGGTCGCCGGGTTCGTAGCGCAGCGCGCTAACAATTAGAATTCACTACCGAGAACACACACACCCTACAGAGTACCCGCACACACACCTGCAGAACACACACACCTTACATAATAACCCACACACACACACACATAACACACACGCCTACAGAATAACCCACACACACACCTACAGAATACCCACCCACACCTTACAGAGTAACCCGCACACACACACAGAACACACACGCCTACAGAATAACCCACACACACACACCTACAGAACACCTCACCCACCCACACACCTTGCCACGCCTATGTGCTCGACGCACCTGTCCGCATGCTGCGTGGGAAGCTGCTTGACGTCTATAAATATCGAGGAGGCAGCAGCAGCAGCAACAACAACAGCCACGTGACCGCGCGCAAACAACAACAACAACGACTAACATCACGACTGCAAGTAACCGGAGCCGTAAGCAAAAGCCTCCACTCAAAACGAGATGTGCGAAAAGCAGGCACAAGCGTGCATTCTGTCACGATGTTCCCCCCCTCTCCTCCCCCCCAGCATGCGTCTTGCGCTCAAGAGGTGCGTCACGAGCAGCACGGGAGCCGGAGGGTAGCGGAGCAACAGACGAAGCGCGCGCTGCCCCGTGGCACCGCTGAACTGTCGAAGCGATTCCGAGGTTGTTCTTTTTAATTGTCTGTTTCTTTGTTTGTCTGTTTGGGCAAACGCTTTGATCAACGTGGGCGGTTTTGAACGGGGGGGTAAAGATGAAAAGTTCCCCAACGGCGACGCGAATCTATACGATGACGTTTCGTTCGTGTCGGAGCATCTTTGCGAGAGTTCTTGCGCCTCGCCGTTACGGACGGACGGACGGACGCTCAACACATTCCTGCGGAGGGAGCTGGTAGGAACGTTGGGTTGCTCGGTCAATGGCCAGGGTCAACGGCGGCGTGGTGTATTCAGCAAATATGCCCGACTGTGAGGGCGGGCACAAGCCGACGTGAGTAGGTTAAACGTTGATTTTTATAAGGGCACCACGGGGTGGCCAGCCCCTCCCCACCCAGCCCCACCCACCCCAACCAGCCCCTCCCTACCCAGCCCCTCCCCACCCTCCCCACCCTCCCTTCTCCTCCCCACCCAGCCCCTCCCTCCCCACCCAGCCCCTCCCTGCACGACGGACAGACACAATAATCCCCTGTGGGCTGGTGTAACCAGGAGGTTCCTACCAGTGATAGGTATCTCGCTAGCAGCACTCGTCCCAGACGTTGACGCAAGGCGACGCGCATAGCGAGCACGTGGCCTCGCGTCACAGGCAGGCACAGTCACGACCGCGTGTCGGAGCTAATGGAGGAGCGTGTCTGTGAACTCCTTGTTGAGTGGCTCCAGCGAGTCTGCTCGCTCGGGTGATTACGTCTCTCTGTGTTTCTTTCGCCCCCTTTCTCCAAGCTGAATGTAATAGACTTTTGTTATGTTTATTGCTATCACGGAGAATGTCATTGAGAGCCTCGTAAAAAAAAAACGCGGCGGTCACGTAGTCTGGGCGTTAGAGGCGACGTTACACTCGCTCTTTATTTGTGTTGCTGCTCCGCGAGTAGTACGCGGACGGGGAAATGTGTTTGCCAGACTGGCAGACGCACACATCCGACTCTCGGCTCTGGAACTCGAGGGCAAAGAGGATCATCCTCGCTGGCCGTGCCGCTGCTGCTGCTGCTTCTGCTCTTGTTTGTTGATGCCCCCGCACGAAGTCCTCTCGTCCTCCTTGATTTATTTTAGTTGTTGCTGTTGTTGTTGTTGCTAAGTCCTGACACTCGACTTCTAAAGGAGCAAGATTGCAGTCACGAAAACTTCAAATCTAGAATAAACTTCAAATCTAGAAGATTGCAGTTGTTAACATCGTCTCGCAATCAGAACATGTTATTTATCCTGGAGGAATCTGATGAGCTGTGAAGCCCCCCCCCCCCCCCACTACAGATGTGCGGTCGGGGATGCGGGTCAACCAGTTACATTGACAAAAGAAAGACACAAAAACGAAGGCAAGATAGAGAAAAAGTTAAGCAAGTCACGATTCATAAATAAAAAATAACGTATTGAAGTAAAAAATGCACTGGCATACCATCAGGATTCAGTGTCAAAAAATTACCACGCAGCAAACACACCACGTAGGGACGAGTCTTACAGTAAATTTGGCTTCACGTCTTCACGTTGTCACAATGTCGATGTATCCTTCAAGGACCGCTCTTACAACACTCTCATGACCACCACAGACAAAGATCCCCCGTGTAGCCTTAACACACTGATGGGGCAAGTGCTGTTAGCGAGTAGCACCTATGAAGGCCAGCATGGCAAACGAGGGGATGGGTGGCCAGCACCACGCCCGGCCACCTTTGTTTCCCCAGTGACGATGTTTACACACCGCACCCCGTACTCATCTGAGGCCGAGTCTACCTAGGGGAGGCACAGGACCGTTTCAGATAATCGTCACCGATCTTGATGGCCGTGAGCGGCGATCGAACTCAGCCCGCTGGGTTCGTGGTGCAGCGCAGCGCTAACCGCTGCGCCACCTCTCCCCACCACAACCATCACTCGGACCACCACAAGCATCTGGCCTTTGATGTCGCCGCTGGTCGTTGACCTCGGGGCACCACTCGGAATGACCTCTCACGGTGACCTGTCCTCCTCCATCATCCTGCACACGTGCCAGCTCCTCCCTGGCTGATTTACACGCGCACCAAACTTCTTGCTTTCCACCTTCCATTGCAAAGTTCCGAGTTACAGTATTATATATTTTTTTTAACAGCGTCGTATGTAGGAGCCAGCCGTGCTAATCGGAGGTGCGGGGGAAGGACAACAAACTAAACACAACAAAGCAGTTTTAAACAAACGAGTTTTCAATTCAGATGATTTAAAATTGCGTGGCTCCAGTGGCTTCCGAATATCGGAAGGAAGAGCGTTCCAGACGGCCGCAGAAGCGAATGCGAAAGCGCCGCGCGATGCGGTGACCGCGGTCTTTGTTCGATGGCGAGCAGCCAAAATCCGCTGCTACTGCGAGGATGATCGGAGTTGGCTCGATTGTGGTTTATGTCCCTTGACGAGCGTTGGATCTGGCCACGAAAGCGTGATTTTGAGTCCCAAGACTATTTTGTCAAGAGGGCAGTGATTTAAGATATTTGGTCAATTCCTTTGCTTCTTTTTTTGTTAAGTCGCATCTGACTTGAAACTGAAGTATGCGGAGAAAACCCCTCGCATTCCGCGGTTGATAACGATCGCGGTCCTCAGCGCAGGTCAACTGCCTCTTAGAACACCCACTTGCTCCCCTGCCTTGTATTAAGGAACGCCGACATCGCCCTGTGGGTGGGTGTGTTTACAACGCACGCTCCCATCTGCACGCGATCCAACAACCCCAGCTCCTTCATGAAGTAGCTGGGTGATGCACGCAACAGACATCACTGCGTCAACCAAGCCAGCGCACGGCTACTGACAGTAACAAAAACAACATCTCCTTCCCATCACATGTCTCTCCGCGTACAAAATATCGACATATCTCCATACACGTCAACATCAGCCGCACGGCCTTCTGGGAGTTGCGTTTAATCAGCCAAGCAGCCTTAGTTCAAGGCACCAAAACAAAAACAAAACTCAGCTTCTCATCAGCAGAGCCACGCCTTGCTCGAACCAATGCCGGCGACGTGTCTGCACTCGCGAATAAACTTTGCCAAACGCGAAGTGCAGGAATGACCAGACGCAACGCGGCGTCGTCGGTGTCGCTGCACTGCCCACGGCTGATGCAAAGACAAAGATCCCCCGTATAGCCTTAACAGACTGTCGGGGCACGCGCTGTTAACGAGCACCTGTGAAGGCCGGCACGGCACACGAGGGGGTGGGTGGCCAGCACCACGCCCGACCGCCTTTATCTCCCCAGTGGCGATGTTTACACACCGCACCAGGTACTTATTTGAGGCTGAGTCGACCTAGGCGAGGCCCAGGGCTAACCGCTACACTACCGGCTGCTACACGCACTCCCAACACACCGAGTCTCGCCGCAGGACTCTCGATTTGACAGCGCCGCGGGCGAGCG